AGAAAAGCAGTCAGTCACTCCCGTCTCCCCCGCCTCTGGCCGCACTCTGTGCTCACTCAGCCTGTGACCGAGCATTTCTATCTCTGGCACCTGACCCGGTGTGGAGTCTCCAAACCCAGCAGATCCCTGCGGTGCGCTCCCGCACCGCTCCTCCTGGGGGAGGAAGGGGAGTCTCCCCGGATCTGCCACTTGTTGTGTCCCTGCTGGAGGAGCAGTGGCCCGACTGTGCCACGGATCACAGTTTATGGCAACCCCGGGCTGAGAGCCCGCGCCTCGGCTCCGTCTCTGCAGCCGGCTTCCCCGCTCCGATACCTGGGAGCTCTGCCGCACTCAGGCACCCCTGGTCTTTCTGTGACCCCGAGGGTCCTGAGACCACACTGTCCCGCGAGGGTTCCACCTCCAGCTTAGCCACTGGAGCGACGTCCCTCAGCGGAGCCGACTTCTAAAAGTTCCGATTTTGTGCTCTATCACTTGCCAGAAGCGGCTCACGGGGGGCCCCCTCCCCCGCCATCTATCCTCCCGAATATCACCTCGGATTCACTTCTCCGCACGTCCTACCTTCCAGAAAGCGGTCGCTTTTCTGTTCAGAGAGTCATTGCTCTTCTTTTCTTCAATCTCCTGTTGAGTTCGTAGGTGTTCAGAATGGTCTGATCCCTATTCAGCTGAATTCCTGGGACCAGACGAAATCCAGGTCTCCTACTCCTCCACCATCTTGCTCCCCCTCCCTCAACAAAAATCTTTAAAAGAATAAGCAAGTTGAAATAATTAGTGGTAATTTAAATGGTGTTCTCTTGAATACAAGGTTAGAGAGCACCCCACTCACATCCATGTGGCTAAGATGTCCTCGCCATTTGTCTTTGGTAAAGTCTGCCAAAATCATATAGACTTTGGTTTATCCATCTTTTATTATATCTAGAATATTATCAATAATATCCAACATGCAGACCCCCATCCGAGGAGGTTGTTTTTCAGAACTAACAAGTGTCATTAAAAGGTCCTCACCCTGGGTGACTCCTAAGAGCTGTTTGGTGTATTAAAAGCAATACTGATGTTGATTTCAAAACACCAAAAGGGTGAGATCTCTGTCAGATACTAGTTGTGATGACTCAACCACTTTGCTTTCTTTTTTCTGTTTTAATTATTACATTTCAAAAATAAGGATAACATTGCCTTTATATGATTGTTGCAATAAATGCAATAATATAAGTAAGAGTTCCTACCATATTATTCAGATTCTCAAGAAAAATGTAGGTTTTCAAGGAAATGGATTGCAAGAATAATTGTGTGTAATAGACAATTTGCCTGGCCTCTGTCCTGGGTCCTGTTTGGTAAACACTAAACCCTTTGAGTTTCCTGAGTAATTGGAATGTCTTTGTTATTCATGGTGGGCCTCTCCAGCCCCACCTGATGGTTTATACTAATGAGATGACACAGAAGGGGCTGGCCAGGCAGGAAGACCAAGCAAGTGATTAGAGGGTTGAGGCTTTGAGCCATATGATAGCCCAACCTCCGGAGGGAAGAGGCTGGAGACCGTGTTTAATCACATGGCCAATGGTTCAATTAACCCTGGTATATTATATATATTATAAAATTTATTTTATATATATATATATATACACCTTTTTTTAGGTATATGTAATATACCTAAAAAAAGGTATATTATAAAACCTCATTGAAAATTCTGCACCCTGAAGTTCAAGTAAACTTCCCTAGTTGGCCATATTCTGAGTATTGTCACACATTGTTGTGCCAGTTGGCCACTGCATCCCTGAGGATGAAAGTTTACTTTTGGAACCCTTTATATCTTGTTCTGATTTGTATTTTTTTGCTACCATAAAGCTTTAATCATAAGTACTGTGCTTTCCTGAGTTCTGTGAGTCATTCTAGCAAATTGTTAAACCGAAGCGGGTCTGTGGGGACCTCCACATTTATAGTCAGCTTATCAAAGGTGACAGCATTCCTGGGGAACCTCTGAACTTGTGGCTAATGACTAAAGTGAGCACAGTCTTGTGATGTTTGACCTAACTGGATACGTTCCCCAAACATACATAGGGAAAATTTAGATTTATATAAAAGATGAACTGATAGTAATATTTGACTTCATTGTTCTTCTAGAATATATCAAATGTGGTTTGATTATAGACATTTTTAAAAGCAAATTTTCAGGGCACCTGGGTGGCTCAGTTGGTTAAGTGTCTGCCTTCAGCTCAGGTCATGATATCAGGGTTCTGGGATTGAGGCCCAGCATCAGGATCCCTGTTCAGCGGGGAGCCTGCTTCTCCCTCTGCCTCTCCCCCCTGCTTGTGCTCTCTCTCTCTCTCTCTGACAAATAAATAAATAAAATCTTTCAAAAAAAAGAAAGCAGGTTTTCAGAAACATCTTCATTGGATAACGTTGAAGAAAATAAACATATGCTGAACACATAAGATGTTTAAGTAGAGATGTAGGTAAGACTTTTCCAGGTTACTTTATAAAACTCTAATACCAGTGCTTTGTTCCTTTTTTATACATAAAGAATCTAACCACCAGAGCAGTCAGCAACTTGCTGCCGTTCACACAGTTGTTATGATGGTTTGAATTTTCGTCCTTTGAGAAATGGAACCATATCTCACAAATTCTATGCAGTACAGAGCCTGGCACACAGTAAGTATTCAATACACACTTATTTTGCTTTCTCAGTTAACTAAGACAAGGGCAATAATTTATCTTATTAATGACCATTAATCATTATAATGATTAATCATTAATCAATCAAGGATTGTACATTTGTTCTCTAGAACTCTACTCCACCTATCATCAAATTTATCATTCTTAATTTTATTGCTTCCCTACACCCCTGGAAATTTTGTGAGGATTTGGAAGTGTTTATTTCCTTGTCATGGTATCCCCAGTGTCCAGTGTGGTGCCTGGAGTGGAGTGGGTCACCCACAAATATTTTTTGCATGAAGATAGTGTTAAAAAGAGTTTCTCACTCATAGAAGTTAATTTTTCCGTAGTTTGAAAGTAAGTAAATTAAATCTGTTACAGGAGAACACAAACCAACACTTCCTTTACATTATTTTAAGTGCACAACTGTAAGTACCTTTGAAAGTAGAGAATAAGCTTGTAGTATTTTCATAAAATAAGCAAAAGTAAATTTAGAAAAAAAAAGTTAAGCCATGTTAACATCTTAGAACAAATAAAGGAAAAAGCCTGTAGATCTAAAATACAGCCAAAGACATTTCACCATGACATCTAATCATTGTCATCTGTCAATTTTTCTGTCAGCACATGTGTGAGTACTACTTTTTTGTTGCACGTGAATTTTTCAGATGGGGTGTTTCTCCTGATCAGTTTCTATGGGAAAAATTTTCCAAGACGATTTGCTATTCAATTCACAGTCTCTTTTTGATTGCATAGACATGATTTCTGGAAAATCACAGGGAAAAAAGATCATCCAGATACCCCATTCTCCTACATTTCCACAGGACTTACCTTTTCTGAGGATTATCTATGCCAATTATGAGGCATTGTTGAATATGACCTCACTGAAAGATCTAATAAAAATATAATGACCGATTTGTTTTAAAATACCCTAAAGAAAGACAGCAGACAGGGTCTCATGAGAAGTGACATTCTGTAATTACCTCTTCCTATCAAAAGAAAAACAATTCCCAGAAATTAATGAATACAGCAAGAGTCTATTTCTTATCTTAATTCTATCTTAATTGCAAAAGTGGATCAATTAAAAAAAGACTACACTGGCAAAGCCCTTCTTTTAAGATTTTGTCTCCCAATTCTCTAGTCATCAAATCAATATATATACATATATATATACACATACACACACACACACACATATATATAAACATACCATGAACCTATTTTTTACCTTCTGAGATGAGATATACCAACTCCACCAGCAATGCCCCCATGAAACAACCAAATCCATTGAACAGTGTCAAAATATTCATAGAGGTTCCTCTGATGGTATTCGGAACAAATCTATGTATTACAGAGACTGAAAGGAAAAGAGAAAGCCAAAATTTAGAACATTCTCTGTAAAATACTTCCATAGATGTTATTCAAATTAGTGTTGATCATACCTCAAGGAAAGTTTACTGATAAAGGCAAAATTTGGGTTGGACTTCGTTAAAGTTACTATAATAAGACATACTATGATGTTACAATTTACATATGTCTCAAAGGAGTAAAATAGGGGCGCCTGGGTGGCTCAGTTGTTAAGCGTCTGCCTTCGGCTCAGGTCATGATCCCAGGGTCCTGGGATCGAGCCCTATATCGGGCTCCCTGCCCCGCGGGAAGCCTGCTTCTCCCCCTCCCACTCCCCCTGCTTGTGTTCCCAATCTCGCTGTGTTTCTCTCTGTCAAATAAATAAATAAAATCTTAAAAAAATAAAATAAAAGGAGTAAAATATGGCAAAACATACTCTAGTACAGCTACGGGGAAAATTTAATTACTTGGTGGTTTGTGTGTCCCAACATATTCAACCAAATTTCACCCCCATTTGAATATTTCTTATTAGTTTTGGGTTAGGGTGAGGCTTGTACTAGGTAATATGACAATCTAGTAATATGGTCTATGATTCTGTGATTCTATGTAAATCATTAGTTTCCCCATAGAAAACTTAAATTTATCATATAAAATTAACATGGAGGTTAAGAGGATGGGTTCTGGAGTTAGACAAGATTTTGCTGAAATCTCAGGTCAACTATTTACTACTTCTGTAATTTTAAGTAAGTTACTTAAACTTTCCAAGCCTCAGTGTTCCTCTCTGTAAAATGGGAATAATATCATCACTCACTTGCAGAGGTGCTGTGGCTCTTTCTTGCTATAATGTATGTATAATACTATAAAATATGTAAAATGCTGACTTGTAGGAACTGAATCAGGTTGGCTATTTTTTTTAAAAGATTTTACTTATTTATTTGACAGAGAGAGACACAGCGAGAGCAGGAACACAAGCAGGGGAATCAGAGGGAGAAGCAGGCTTCGCATGGAGCAGGGAGCCCGATGCGGGGCTCGATCCCAGAACCCGGGATCATGACCTGAGCTGAAGGCAGACGCTTAACGACTGAGCCACCCAGGCGCCCCATGGTTGGCTATTTTTAACAGTATTAATCTTACCAAGTCAAATGGCTCCTACTTGTGCAAAGTCCCTTACATGCATTTAAATTATCCTATTTAAGGAGAGCTTACCTAAAGAGAGACTATAGTTTAAGCTTTGGGTCTCCAAAAAGGTTATCTTCCTTCCCCCAAGTCATTGTTGGGGTAAGGGTGGCAAGAGGTTGAAAAAAAATCATGGAGGAAAAAAATCTTTTTTTAAAAATTTCAAATACAAATAATTTTTTTGAACAGACTCTTAATTATAGAGAACAAACTGATGATTACCAGAGGGGAGGGGTTGGCGGGATGGGTGAAATAGGTGATGGGGATTAGGGGGAGCACCTGTGATGAGCACCAGGTGACATATGGACTCGCTGAATCGTACACCTGAAACTAATATAACACTGTGCGTTAACTAACTGAAATTCAAATAAAAACTTAAAAAGCCCCTCCCCCAAATTTTTCTGGTATCAGACATAGATGAAAATGAGTATATCCGATTTTGTACATATGATATTAACTGTATTAAAATATGCATGGCAACCTTAGGAGTACATGCTAAACTATTTACAACATTTATCATGATATGATATCTGGGATTTGCTTCAAAATCATACAACGAGGAGAAAGAGTGTGTGCAAGTGAGGGTAGAGATGAGACAAGTTTGGCGGGCTTGAAAATTATTGAAGCAGAAACATGAATACACAGCAGTTTATTGCACTAATCTCTGTCTTTTGTATTATGTGCGGTGAAAAATTAGAAGGAAATCCATAAAATAACAGGAACAGTGTTAGCTTTGAGTGGTTGAATTATTGGATTTTTAATTTTCCTTCTCCTTACTCTTTTGTACTTTGCAAATTTGTCTACAGTGAGAGATCATAAATAAACATTAAAGTTCATTTAAAAAAGAAAAGCGGTGATAGAAAACCAATACACCAGAGAGGCTAAACCTTTAGTTTCCTTTTCTTTTTTTTTTTAGACAAGGGGGGGACAGAGGGAGAGGGAGAGAGAGAGAGAGAATCTCAAGCAGGCTCCACGCCCAGCTCTGAGCCCAACTCAGGGCTCGATCTCATGATGCTGAGATCATGAGGTGCGCTGCAATCAAGAGTTGGATTCTTCGGGCGCCCGGGTGGCTCAGTTGGTTAAGTGACTGCCTTGGGCTCAGGTCAGGCTCCCTGCTCAGCGGGGAGTCTGCTTCTCCCTCTGACCCTCTTCCCTCTCATGCTCGCTATCTCTCATTCTCTCTCTCTCAAATAAATAAATAAAATCTTTAAAAAAAAAAAAGAGTTGGATGCTTAATGGACCGAGCCACCCAGGTGTCCCTTAGTTTCCTTTTCTAGAAAGAGATCTTAATATCACCTCCCTTCTCTCAGGAAAACGTCACCCCTGGTTTACCTGCCCTTTACCCCAGAAAAACTGCATTTGTTCAGCCCTTTTAAATAAACTTACTAATACGTGATGTAAATGTATTCATGTGCCTTCCTAGCATTCATTTAACATTTCTATTTTGGTTTCTGCATGTCCTCCACGTGTTTTTATTTATCATCCAATAAACATTCAAAGGAGTCCCTATCTGTGCTCCAGGAAAGGGGCTGCATGCTGAGGCTGAGGCTGAGGCCACACTCTGCTCAGGTACTGGGGCATCTGTCTTAGATTTTCCACAATGGGCAGGCGGAGAGCAGAGACATGCACGGCATTAAGGGCAGTGCTAAACAGACAGTTAATACCATTAATACCATAAATACTTATTGGAGGTGAAGATAATGATGGAGATAAATAAAATACTGTGGAGAAGGGCTTCAAATTTCGGCGGCAAGGGGTCATGGGTACCACAACTCTCTTGTGGAGTGCAAATCACCCGCAGGAGCCCGAGGCCAAGCTCACAAGTTTTTTTTTCAGGGAGATCTGGAGGACAATATGAGGGAAACGCTGAGGAGGTTTTGGGAAGAAATGATTCACTGTTATAAAAAGGATTTGGCTTATGAACTTAACCTTTCTATAAATATGAGGAGACAAACAATGGGCAGAAAGACTAAGTAGGCCGATTTCTTTCACTGAGAAAAAGCAGAACGTACAAGCCCATTATTACTCTGCTAGTTAATTATTAATCCTATGCTTTTCTCTTGCTAGAACTTCTGGTGCGGTATATAATTCATGAACGCACTTTGCCAGCTCTCTGCCTGCTGGTTAATCTCTCTTTGGTGTCGTTTTAGTCGTTTTGAAAGCTTCTGTTTCCCTTTTAGAGGACTTAGCTTTTCAAGTCCTTGGATCTCCATGTTCAGGCACCGGCTTGCATGTTCCGATCTCTTTCGACTTTAGTGATCATCAACCTGATTTTTTAGGCTCTGTGGTACTTCTTTTTGCACATAATAGCATAGATAGTATCCACAAGTCTGCCACTATTCCAAAATTCTCATTTTACCATGAAGACACAGTAAAAAATATTCAGTGTGTGTGAAAGCTGGTCTTGCCAAGGAGAGCAGAAATGTGCCTCCAGGTGGAGGCTGGTTAGTGTTTGCAAAGATGCCCCATCACAGCATCTGTGGAATCTACAGACCATGGGGCTATAACCACCTTCCTGAGGCCCCTGGTACTGGGGACTCATCGCTGAAATTTCTTTTTCTCCAACTGTTCTTAAACTGTTGGATGTGCTTATTATGTTTGGTGAGAAGTTATTTCGAACACGTGTAAGAGAAGTACCTCAGTCCCAGAAAACGGAACTTTATCCTATTAGCCATTTTCAGGTCATCATTCCTTCCTCATCCCTAAAAAGCTTCAGCTTATTGTTTCTGATTATATCAATATTTTTCAATGGTATCACCTAATACTTCTCTTTTGGGCAGGCATCTGTTAATCTCCAGGACATTTTCCTCTGTTATTCAAAGTCATCAGCTCGTCTCTCCTCGTCACAGTCTCCAGTTCTATTCCTGCCTCAGTTCCTGGCAATTTTATCATATATAGAGATCACCCTTCGAAACTTCCACTCTGCTAGATCTTGGTTTCTCAGTTCCTTGACCTTCTTTCTAATGCCCTCATCCGCCACTCTACCTTAGCCACTCATTACCATGGTCACACCCTGAACCTTGTCCCTCAGACCAGGACTTGGTGAACTACCATCAGGTAAGGTTCAGCCTGCCACCTATTTATAAATAAAGTTCTACTGGAACACAGCCACACCCATTCATTAGATATGCCTATGACGGCTCATATACCACAATGACAGAGTTGAGTAGTTGTAACAGAGACTGGTGTGAAAAGCCTATTTACTATCTGACACTTTTCAGAAAAAGTTTGCCAACCCGTGCGCTAGGCCAGGAATTGTAAGCACTCCATAATCTCAACTTTGTGCATCCCCCTCTGACTACACCTTCCTGTCTTCCTGGTTTACCGCCTGCTACTCAACCACAAGAATGTTTTGACTCCTTCAGGACCTCCACTCTATCGCTCCTTTCATTATCCCTCTTTCATGAAGAACATAAAGGTATGCTCCTACTACTCTTTTTAGCCAAGTTAAGTTCCATAGTCAATTGTTATGATCATATTCTTTCACATACCCTCATTCCCTTGCCTTTCTCCTGCTTTCTGGAAATTGACTGGCCCGACAATTCACTCTCTGCCATCTCTGCTCCTAGATCCCTGCAGCCTACTATTCCTGGAAGAAACACACATAACCATGTTGACCAACTCATTTTAAATTCCTGACCACACACCTCAAATGGTCTCCTAATGCACCCTGGCAATGTTCTATATCTCCCTAGTGCGTTCACTCTCTCATTGTCTTAGACAACAATTTCATACCTCTCCCCTCTCCTCAAACCCCCCAACTATACTCTCCCATCCTCACTCAGAGCTCATGGCCTGACATCCTACTTCACTGAAGAAAAATCAATCAGCCAG